TGATTGGTCAATACCTGCTGACCTGCGACACTGACTGGATCTGTCGCACGATCAGACTGCCTCTCGCTCTCGCGATTGGTCGTAAGGTATACATTTCTGCCGAGCACGAAACGCATCGATTGGTTGCGAACAGCTAGGCGAGCGCAGATACTTGATTACTGACGCAAAACCTGTCGTATGTACTGAAATCGGGCACAGTAACCACTTTATTTTCTAAGAGCTCTACACACTTCTCAAATAGAGATATTTATTATTATTAATGTAGACTTCACAGACCAGTATTTTGTAAGAGCTCTGGGATGTTATTTTCCACACACTTTTCAAAATAAAGACGATATTAATAGTATTAATATTACTAATATAAGCTTCACAAGCCGCAATTGTAAGAGCTCGGCGATGCTATTTTCCACAGACTTTCTAAAGTAGAGACGATAGTATTTTTAATATTAAAGCAGGCTTCACGACCAGCGCTTTTTGTAGGGACTTTGCGAATATATATCTTTTTTACTTCACCTGGCACTCACCACTGCCACCGTGCAATGAAGGCGCGCGGCTGCACGGTCATTGCGCTATCTGCTCCCGTGCACCCCACCCGACGAATGCATGCGCGCACGATACATAGTCTTTTAGTCACTTTTATTGCATGTAAAGTATGTATTTGTTTGGAAATCTGATAATAATATATTAAAGATAAGCCAAATATTAATAATATAAAACATTTTACTATTTAGCTTTATAATAAATACCAGCCTTACATTACCGTGCTATTGGCTAATATTTGGACGCAAGTAATTGGTTAAAATAATATATGTTGCTTACTTACTCACAGTTTGCAAAATGGTGGGCCCTACGTGCAAGCAATGCGAGGCGAAGATTGACCCGCTTCTGCTGAACCTGCAGCGGTCTACGACGGACCCCCGAGCGCGCTGCGTCTGCTGCGGGAAGCTGCAGTACGGCTACGCATTCCGTACAATCAGCGGGCGGGACATCGTGCGGCGCTGTATTGCCTGCGAGAACAGCCCAAAAGCGGTTAAGTCCTGGGAGGAAAAGCCCCCACCACCTGATTCGGCCGAAATGCGCCGCCAGGAAAGCCTGGCAAACGTCAAGAAGGAGAGACTGGTACCCCAAGAATAGAAAGAGACGCAGCCGCCATCGCAAGCCGACCACCCGAAACGTTAAGTACATCGAGCAAAAGAAGCAGCAGAAGAGCAATTAGCTGGTAAATATACTCCTTACAAAAAGCGCTGGTCGTGAGGCCTACTTTAGTATTAAAAAATACTATCGTCTCTACTTTAGAAAGTCTGTGGAAAATAGCATCGCCGAGCTCTTACAAATGCGGCCTGTGAAGCTTATATTAGTAATATTAATACTATTGATATCGTCTTTACTTCGAAAAGTGTGTGGAAAATAGCATCCCAGAGCTCTTACAAAATACTGGTCTGTGAAGTCTACATAAATAATATTACATATCTCTATTTAAGAAGTGTGCAGAGCTCTTAGAAAATTAAGTGGTTACTGTGCCCGATTTGCAGTACATACGACAGGTTGAATGCAATAATCAAGTATCTGCTGGCTGTTTGCATCCAATCAATGTGTTTCGTTCGGGGCAGAAATGTTTACCTTACGTCCAATCGCGAGGGAGAGAGACGGTCTGATCGTGCGACAGATCCAGTCAGTGTCGCAGGTCGGCAGGTATTGCCCAATCAGGGCGCGAGTTAATTGTGTCACGCTTTTGGATATAATTGTAATTTTAGCATAGTTAGGTCGAGTCAGAAAGGTAGGCGCGGTCGGTAGGATAGGAGGAAACTGTATAAGACAGGCCGAGTGTAGCCATGCGAAAAGGCAGGAAAAAGCAGCAAGACGGGGAATGCGACGGACTGACGGACGGACAGACCGACAGGTTACAAGGTTAGAAGCGGGGAGACTAGCGCTCTGGGCGCCCGCTCCGCGGACGCTAGGGCATGGTTGGTTGGTGTAGTGTGGGCTGACCGCCTCCGCTGCGCTGCGGTGGGCTTAGAATTTCTACTCGAAGCGAAGCAACATATAGTACATGTATACTGTGATCTACGTATATTATGCTCCAAAACAGCACCGCACACAGTATCCGTAGTGCTCACATGTTATTGTAGACATGACCAGGGTTTAACGTGATCTGCAAGAAGAGCACCGTCTTATCCTGGAAGCTTTTGTCTATAATCTCGTTTGAGCGCATTGCTCCCAAAATGACACGAATCGGAGGCGCGCGTGTTGCAAAGCTAATATATACTGTACGGAGGACGGGTCAGTATCAATGATGCTACGGAATTAACGGTGATTCGGTGAGGGATTCCCAGTGTAGCTAGAGTAAAGTACGGCCTACTCAAACCGTAATTTAACCCATCTGCACGTCATCGGCCGTGAGGCCAGTCGACACATATCACCGATTGCGACGGTCGAATAGAGCAATGTTAATTAGCTCCGCGCGCGAAGTATCTTTTAGGATAGGTAGTATATGCCGATGGTCGCCACAAACATCAATATTATGCTTTGAAATTATTCTGC